AGTAGTAATAGCAGCAGCAGCAGGAGGAGGAGGAGTAGGAGTAGTAGTAGTAGTAGTACTAGTACTAGTACTAGTACTAGTACTAGTACTAGTAGTTTCAGCAGCAACCCAGCCATACCAGTTGGAGAGAAAGAGGGGTGGCGAAGGAAAAGTAGAATCTGAACAGTGGAGCTAGCGGAAAGTGCGCAAACTGATTGTCACACAGCAGACACCTTCTGGCAACAGTCTTACGAGACTCGCAAGGATAAGACAGCAATAATGAAAGTGATCCTAACAACCTGGAGCTGGCAATAAATGCCAGATCATACACGCGTGGTGCAAGCTCGTACTGAGTTGTGCGACGTCTGCTCGAACATACGATCGCCCGAACCAACATCGGCATCCCCTAAAAAAGGACCCCACAGAGACAATATTCCTTTTGAAGCTGCGCCGGCGCGGGGTTCCATGTTTGTTGGGTGGGAGAGTACGATGTTTCCGTCCTTTGTCGAGGTCCAAAACCGCAAAACGGACCTGAGCAAAAAGGTGCCGAAGACTAAACTGTCTGGGAACCTGTGGTTACTAAGGGGCCCGGAACCAAATCATGTAAGTTTTGAAAGGTTAAGGGGCCAAGTAATGCATAGCGGGGTGTGTGTGGGGATGCAAGGATATCCTTCGTAATTGGACAGAAGGATCCAGGACATGGGCCCAGAAAACATAGAAGTTTCTCAACACGCTTTCTGAACAATTCTTAGTCCAATGCTCTGAACTGCGGGGAACCCGAGTATCTCTACATGCCCTCTCTAAATATCACGGAGGTCTCTGGTACATCAGGGCCTTTCGTATTTTTGGGAAGCCCAAACTTTGTCCTCCGGTGTCAGGCTTTTGGGTCTATCACTCAAAACATGATTGGACTGGAGGGATGTTGGGGTTACTAAGGGTTGAGGGAAGTATTTCTACAAGGCTACACCTGAGCTACTATAGGAGATGAAGACCGGTTTAATGGCTCCTTCACTATAGGGTTGGTTTATTTTCTCAGACACACTGTGCCTGCAGGGAACTGCTTCCTTTGCAGCCCCACGCAAACAACGAGGGCATTGAGTCATGAGAGTTCCCAAGCTAATCCCCTGCTAATAACCAACCACCCTCTTCAAACATTTTTTCCCTCAGAAAGTAGCGGGAATATTCAATGTTGGGGGTGGGTCGGTGGCCGGGGCATTTACTTTCTGGGGAGGCGGTTAAAAGCATGCAGGGATCCGAAGGCCACTACGAGGCCGATACGGTAGCAGGGCCTTGCTATTGGAAAAGCACCCTTCGTTTTCAAAACTGGACGGGCGCCAATGCTTTGGCTCCCACGTCATCCCGCCCGTCTGGAAAAAGACATCTAAGCACCTGCGCCGTCTTCGCAAGGCAATTGTAGAGGCCTATAGCCACCAATCTGATTTTGCGGTCTATGTGAGGTACCAAGCGCAAAAGTAAGTAGAAGGAACCTGTAACTGCAATATTGGTACCTCATTGTTTAGGCCCCTGTACCTCTCTATATGAGCCACTGTCTAAAC